ATATATATATATATATATATATATATATATATAAGAAAAGGAGGAATAATCTAATAGCGAATAGCAAAAGAGAACATAAACAAAGACAAGTAAATTTCAAAAAAGACGAAATAATTATCTTTAATATATGTGAATTCACAATATACTGTTATCTCTAATATTATATAAATAAATAAATAAATAAAATATGCACAGTCTCATATATACTATCTATCAACAGAATAGAGTTACGACCAAATTTGTACATTCAATTTAATTTGCCATCCATTCTACCATGAACATTTGTTTTGCAAATCAGAAAGACTACATAACCAGATATAATAGTATTCCACACCATTTTTCCCTTTCATGACGGTGAAAAAAGAAAGTGGTTAAGTTAATACATGATAAATTAGACCTGACACCAGTAAATAGTCATGAAGAATCAATCTACTCTTTACATGACTGTTCAAGACATTCAGTAACTCCTGACCAAGAGCAAGCCAATCCCTGTGACAACAAGGGTTGAAGGGACTCCGAAACGTAGATGGCCAAGGAACGAGAGGTTATAAGCAAAGTCCTCAACTCGCCGAGCCTGCTCACATACTATAAGATTCGCCGCCGATCCCAGCAAAGAGAGGTTTCCGGCCACTGTGCTGACCCATGCTAGTATGAGCCATGCCCGCATCTCTTCAGCTGGAGAAACAAGTGCAGCAGATGCTGCAATTCTTGCACCGAGCAGGAGAACTATAACAAACAGAATAGAGAGTATGGGAAAGCATTTTCTAACATTAGCAAAAGCAATTCATAAGTAGGCAAATTATGTCGGATTGACTTCTTTTTCCTTTACGGGGCAATATCATCATTTACGTTAAGATCACTCTATTGTATCATAGCCTGTTTGCTTACTAAAAGTTGGTTGATTCCATAAGAATCAACCTACTGCATATTAATGGTTTGAGCCAGTAGGTCTAAAGCTCAATGGCCTTTTAAAGAAGAACAAGCACTAAGCCTGCACAGTCCTTACTGCCAGCCTGCTGCATATTAATCGTTGGCCTATCGAGTTGTATTTTCTCTGTTCTCTTATAGGAATGATGGTATTAAGTGGTTCCCTTTTTCATCAAAGAGAAGAGCCACACGGAGAAAGCGTCTCATTAAATTTGCGAATCTAAATAATCAACAAATAAAACCACAGTCTATTTACTAATTATGCAATAATTTAATCGGTTGTCAGATGTGAACAAGGCCTGTAAATTCTAAAAAGATGAGAGATAAAAGCAAAAAAGGAAAGGAAAATGATGGATGCAAAGAGAATGATACACTACAGGGCATGGCGGGGGAACGTAACTCATGTCCAGGTTTTGATACTAATGTACATGCATCATATCATAATTTTATTGAGCAATTGTGCTGTATTATGAAAATAATAAACACAGACATCCTCGATATATTGTCTTGACTATATGGAGCGTTTTAGAATAAATTTTGCAACACCGAACCTACTGCATATACAAGCCATAAATTTCAACCTTCAAGACATATTGTGAACGTTAACCAAAAATAATTAAACACTAGAATAATTATAAAGGTGGGTCTCTGGAACATTGCAATCATCATGGGAGTAAAATGTCACGTTTATCGTAACCAAAATAAGATGTTAACAGTGAAGTCACTTGTGGCCAAGATGGTTTTCATGAGTTAACAACATGAGAGCCAAGAAACAGAGGGCTTCTTGTATTGTGCAAATATAAAATCAACTGCAAATCACCATGAAACAATGCAGTCATTGGTTTTTTTTGGCATATAGATGATTGCCATATTACTTGCACCTCTTAACACAGCTTCATGTAACTAGTTTTAAGTGTGTCTCAAGGAAACTAGCATTAAGCAAGCAACACCAAATCCATGACCTGTGTATAAAAGCCAATTGCAGATTGCATCAAATCCGTAACCGGTGTATACGTTCCTCTTTATGTATATATATCTGGGCTGTGCTCTGCTGATTGCATCAGCCTTATAATCATGTGCATACATTATATATCCAAGACATGCTCAGTTTGTTTATGGAAAATAGACTAATGGAGTCGAGCTAACCTCCTTAAGTAACGTGTGCAAGAATGACTAAATGCCAATTAGCTGGTCTGATTTCTAATAAACACAACTTTGTTTCTCCAAATCCTTTTCCCTTCACAGTCTGCTCAAATTAATTCAAAGCAAAAGAAGAAAAAGTCTTTGATCAACTTTCTTAAACATAGTTCATCTAGAAAGAACAGGGCTCGAAATAATGAACAAGCAGTTTGACAATTGGGGAATTATAATATAATAAACCTATAACTCATATTCAGTTGACATGTAATTAGGTCATGTTCACATACAAAGCTATGTAACTTAGCTTTTCAGCAACCACAACTGTGACAAGTCTTAAAGGTATTTATGTTCACATTTAGGAAGAGGGTGGGACTTGGTACAATAGTAAGGTTAACGAAATCAGAAATTAGGATTCGAGTCACGAAAATAAGCTCTTCCCTCTTCTATATTTAAATCTACGGATCCTTCCAAGACATGTATCGGCGGAAGCCTCGTGGACCATGCGTATCCCTTTTTACATCTTCGTATAGGAAAGGGCTCCGATGGTTAGTGTCTAGCAGATGTTCGGATTTACAAAGTGGATTTCTTTACGATTTGAGTAATTGATATATCTTGGATTCTCCTTTGGCATATATTTTTCCGAACAATAAGAGTATACTAAATTTGCAATTTGTAAAAGATATTGCCAATCATTACAAATTCTTGACATTTTTTTTTTCCTGGGTTGAATTCTTGACGATCATCACAAAAGTCATTTCTTGCAAACAGCAAAAAATTAAACTGTACTGTAACTGGCTCTATCTCAAAAAACTAAAATCATGTATCTAAATATCAACCATTTGAAATACAAATCCTTATTTCTTATAGAACATGCCATTTAGGTTCTGAAAAATATGATCTAGCTAACACCATAAACATCGTCAGTAATCGAAACAACGAATGTAATTAGGACAATTCAGAACAGCAACATAAAAGCTACTTATTAACATATGAAAATATGATCCAAGCACCTATGCGTTATTTAAAATAAAAAAAAGGGAAAATAACATACCCGTAGGGACATTGGAGGCAACATTTGAGAGCAGAAGAATAACCAGGGAGAGAAGTGCAACCCCACTAGCTCTGTCAATGCGGGAATATGGCTCAAGAAAGTCCCATAGAGCACTCGGTATGCCGGTTTTATTAAAGCCATCAACAGTTATGAACATCCCGCAAAAGAATATTAACAGGGAGTATGAAACCTGGTTTGGATTGTGGAGCAAAGATATTAGCTCGTGAGAAACCATAACTGATGCAAAGCCACAGTGAAAATTGCTACGAGTTTACTAATTTAATGGTATCAATCGAACCAAAGCATCCCAAATCAGAAGTGAACACATCTCCAGGGAAATAGAATGTTAAGGATATGTGGTTTTACCTTCTCCAGGCAAGGGCAAGCATCCTTGAAATCGAGCACCACCAGAGCAAGAGCAGCAGTGATTGCAGTCCAAGACATGTTTAACCCCATCAGAAGAGAGATGAGCATCCCGATAGTCACGAGATAGACACATGTCTTCCGAATCCTACCCTTCCACCTCTCCATGGAGCTTTCCCTCGGTTCCGAGGCTTGGAGAGAAGCCTCGCCTCTGGAGCCACATCGTTGGCTGCCAAAACTTCTGGAAACCCTCCTCCACGATGCGCCTTCCTCCCTCTGAGGATTTCCAGCGCCCTCTGCCACTTCCCGTGATGCATTCGAGGCCCTCATGGACTCGATTCCTGATGCATTTTGTGCATCGATATCTACGCTATTGGTCCTGCACCTCAGACTACAGGTGTGCCCAAATTCTCCGCACAGGGACGGGCTCCGCGCGAAAGAATCCATGGCAGAAGCAAACTCCTGGGAATTCATAGAAGTAAGGTGCGACATTGTAGCCGGCGAAAACCGGTGCAAAGTCATGTCAACCTCGGCCACCACTTCCCCGACGGTCGAAGCCACCTCCTCATCCTTGTCGACCGACAATAATTTCCAGAAGTAGCAGAGGAGGATGGCTGCATTCACGAGCCCCCCCACGAGCACTGCGGGGAAGAGCCCTGCCAAGAACTTCCCGAAGGAAATCCCACTCTGCACAGCGATAACCAGGTTTTGTGGGTTGCCTATCGGGGTTGCCGCGGACCCGATGTTAGAGCTCGAGGCAAGGGCCAGAAGAAAGGGCTGCGGGGGCAGATTGTTCTGCCTCGCGAGCTTCAGTATGAATTCCGTGAGCACGACGCAGCAGGTGTCGTTGGTGAACAAGGCACTGGAGATTGCAGAGACGATACAGATGCGGAAGAGCAAGTCCTTGCCGCCTCTGCTCTTCCAGGAGAGCAATTTGCCCAGGTACTTGAACATGTCGGCCTTCTCGAGGAAGACGCTGACGACCATGGTTCCGAAGAGGAGGCCGAGGATGGGGAGGTCGATCGCGTCGTAAGCATCGTCCGGGGATATCACGCGGAAGATGACCATGAGCATGGCGCCGAGGAGGGAGCCTGCGGTTCTCCCGACGGGGAGGAAGGGGACGGCAGGGAACACGGCCAAAACCCAGAATACTCCGAAGGCAATGCAGCCCAAAACAACCTTCACCGGCGCTGCCATGGCCATCTTTTAGCCAAAGATGCAACGCCCTCTTCCTAATCAATTAACACGCGAAGAACAAACCCTAATCTGCAGTCCGAAGACGATAAGCACAAAGAAGAAGAAGAAGAAGATAACGCAACTCAATAACTCAAAACACCCATGAATTCCATCGCGCGAAGATTCAATTTTTTTCATGGAAGGATGATGGATAGCGATCACTACTCCACCATGATCGAAGCGCCAGAACTGCTCCTGCGGCTGCTCGGATGCGCATCTTCCTGCAAGGGCAAGCCATGCGTGCGCAGTCGATGGGTTCTGGCAACGGAATACGATCGAAGATTCCCATCAACGAAAACATACCTTTCCGATACAAAAAGACGGTTTGAACGACCAACTCATTCAAATCCTCACCGGAATCAGGAGAGGATACCAGAAATCAGCAGCAGCAGCGGCGGCATCATTGGAAAGAGGTTGCTACTGTTGCTGTAGCTGTTGGTATGTGCACCTGCATGGAGGAGTCGACGTTGGAAGTCGGGGAGGGCTTATATAGAAATCGGATAAGAGGCAATAATGGATGTGGGAGTATTTATTTTATTTAGTTTATTTATTTTATTTATAGATATCAGCAGTCACATCTAAGATAATGCTGCAGAAGAAGCAAAGATACCGATCTGGGAAATGGGGGTTGAAGGAAGTTTTACTTAGAACAGCTAAAATTTCCATACCATCACCGAACAGCCGCTTCCCTTTGGTTTGCTGCCCACTCTCGAAGTATCAAATGAATCGAGACATCATGTTATAACTCTTAACAAAAATAATAAGATGGTAAATCCTTGGAGAAACCTCTCATCTTGGGTTTTTCCTCGTCCTCATTTTTCTATCTTTTTCGACACTTTTTTTTTTAATTATCTTTTTGTGTAAAATATAACAATAATAACTTTTTTTTATTGTGAAATATATATATATATATATATATATATATATATATATATATATATATATATATATATATATATGATTGTGAAATGGGATGGATGATGATAGAAAGGGTCGGCAAAAGAAAGCTTTAGAAAACTATTGTATTTTATAGAAAAATATTTTTCTCAAAATAAAATAATAATTATATTTAAAAAAAGTGTTTAGGGTGATGATCTTCTATCAGACGGATCCGATTCTCGATTCCTCCTAATAAACGTGGACGAATAAAAAGGATGTATATTTACATTATATTAAGATTGAAAGTGACTCATGTAGATAGGATTCATATTGGGTTTGGACTCTCTCTCTCAGTCCCTCGGGTTGTACTTCTTTGTCATCTTAGCGTTGCTCCGAAGATTCAAATCGATCAACTTTTCTCTTTTAAGTTGGTGTGATGGATAAGATTATTTTTTGCGAATTGGGATTGAAGACTTATCCCAATTCTGAAAACCAAGAAAAATAGCCTTTTAATGCCATAACATTTAATTCGAGACACTTTTTTTGCCTATAAAAAAAATTCAAAGATAGATAGTTTTCATCCATGAACATCAAATATTTGATCACATCGGAAAAAAGGACATTATTATTAATACTCTTAATCTTTTCAGTGCTAATATATTTCAAACGTAAGAATGCTGCCACCATCGGTTGATACATCTCTTGTTGGCCAATTCAAGGTAGAAAGAAAACTCAAAGTTTGATCTGAAATCTGAAAATTACACAGAGTAATAAAGGATCCTCCCTTGCATTCTACGAGAGCTCGGCCGCATGTACCCAAGTTTAAAGGTGAAATTAACTTGCGGTCTTTTCTCCCACATGAAGAACGAAGAAAAGAAGTCTTAATTGCAGAGACGAAGCTCTTGGATATGGTCTAAGCAAGATTAAACCAACCAATATTTCGGGAAACATATCGTTTCGAAGGTTGATGTGATCTTTGGGTCATCTCCATCCCGTGGCAGCATTCTACCGCATCTACTGAAGAAGGAATTCACTCTCCCATTTCATCAAGAATGTTTAACGTCCTTCGCTTGCTTGCGGTGGAATCAAGTAGCAAAAAGGCAGCAGCGATGTTGCATTTGCTTGCAAGGAATCGCCAAAATACTATGGACCATTTGGCTTACTTCCTTGCAGGCGGTATCTAATGGTGATGACAATTGGAAGATAATGATAGAAGAAGAAGAAGAAGAAGAAGCGAATTAGATACATGGTGGGGGTGCTTCGACTGGCATTGTACCTCAAAACCACGGAGAAATAGAACACGCAACATATCAAATCAGAACAACATATCAAAATACGAGACGAGTCTTATCTTTAAAGAGACTGTTTCCGCATGATTTGAATCCTCGCAAAGGAACGATCTTATCATCCGATCTTCATGTATTAAAATACATGAGAATTAGTTCTATGTCTCCATTCTACGGCGACGGTGTATCTTTATACGGGTGACCATTCTGTAGCCACTTTGGAATCACAGTCTGCCATCCAAGAGTTCAAATCAATCAATTTGGACCTCTAACAAGTAATCCCTTAACTATTATGACATGGTAAAAGTAAGAAGACGACGAAAATTAACATGGTTGGGATCGTAAGTTACATCTGCTGATGCATGCAGATGTAGAGGATAAGAAAGCTATTGTTGGATTCATCACCTTGGAAGGGAAGGGATGACCACATTCTGGAAGAACACTTCATCCAGTAACTGGCAAAACAACAATTACAGTCCTCCATTGCATCTAAGGGAAGAAGCTCAACAGCTCGCACTGTGCTCACTGCCAAACCACCATTTCGGTTTCAGGAACAAGACAGCGGTGGACTATCGAATTCAAACTCTCACGAACAAGACTTTCCATGGCGGAAATATAGAGCCAAAATGCTGAGCTAATGGATTCATATCTAATAGTGGGGAGTGTTGAACTGACCATTTCTTTTTGGTGTGTCGGTTCTGAAACATCGCAATGCAATGACGAGATTTGATCTTTCCTTCCACGTTGTTGTCGATAACTGCAATCCATCAATGGAGTAAACGCTCTTCACATGCATGTCTTTTCCTTAAGACTTTGTTGTGCGGTACACCACTTGACCTCATGCTTAGGATTGACCTATACCTAATCTGCCGACGTCTAGAATGGCAGCTTTTCTCAGCGCAGTCGAAGCCGAGCTGTTCGTCCATCTAAGGATTGTCAACAATGGCAGCTCATTCCTATGAATAAAGAAGCATCATCTCCTTCAGAATCACGCATATAGTTTGTATCAGTGAGAAGAGCTCATGTGTAAGATTTAGTTGTCGGCTAGCTTAGTTGGTAAATATTTTGACAGCATATCTTAAGATTCTGGACTTGAATCTCATATTCATGACTTTTTTTTTTTGTAAAAAAATCTATATAACCAATAAATTATATATTTTTAATATATATTTTTTGAGAAAGAGGTTTATGTAAATGTATAGTTGTGGAATGCTTTGAGTGTTTAATAAATAATATTAAATATGTATTGATGCAAGTGTTGTTTGATAAAATCATATTTCAAAAGTCATAGGATGCTTTGACTTTAGAGAATGTTATAAAATACTTTGAAAACTTTGAACATTAATACTTTGAGAATGTTATAATTGTAGCATCCAGGTCAAATATGATTTTTTTTTTAATAATCAAATTATCAAATGCTAATTGACAGTTCAAACGTGTATTAGGTCTTTAGTGCATATTTAAGATTTATTCCCAAAGGCATCCATAAGCTACTTTAAGATTTGGTTGGCCATGATTGAGTTCATGTAGTTGATCCAAACATGATTTTAGAGTTTTTCACAAAACAACAGATTTTTATGCTTACAATTGATATTAGAGTCATATTTTAAAATTAAATCTATTTTAGATCTATTTTATATTAATATTCACAAAAGATACTATTTGGTTTTGATTTATGATGCTCGAACGATTTATTTATATTGTCTTTCTATATAATTTGTTCTGTCATTTACTTAGGGCCATGTGAAGTTTTCTATATTTGATCAATGGACTATTGTCGATAGTTTGCTATCGACGATAATATTATTGAAAGCAGTTGCCTTCGATGGTCGTTAGCCCAATCACGAGTAGTGGCTTAATATGCAGCGGAAACAACATGGGGTGCGGTAGCCTTGCAGCAGTTGACTTGCCTTATACTAATTATAAGTGTCTTGCAAGCCAATCACGTGAATGATGATGATACGCTACATAATATTTTTTGTTATTATTATTATAACATTTTATCACTTTATATTGATGATGAATATATTGTGATATCTCTTGATTTATATAATAAGAATTAGATCATGATAATGAGACCAATTCGCCTATAAACATATATCCCAAATATTCATAATAATATGTTACTCAAGAGGGACATCGAGATAATCGGATTGATCGGTGTGCTATATATCAACCCATATGATGGAGGTAGCTAGCCTCATAGTTGATTGTGTGGTGACACTAGGGATATATTGTAAGTGCTTATTGAAGAATGAGTTCACTGAATGATCCGCTTATGGAATGCTGGTTGGTTAATGATACCTCATCGTCAAATAATGATTTTGTAGTCTCAGTTGTATGTTTGGTCCTTAAACTTGAGGTACCAAGAATGTTCTGTATAAGTACTCCACTCTTTGATACTAGACTTATAGGTCTGAAAGTTCTAAATCTAGCATAATCGATCATCAAGAGTGGCAGTCAACCTTACGAGAGTAATTGAGTGTCAATAGAGGATAATCTACTCTTGGTATTATGAGAAGAATATCTTATGTATCCTTACTCGGGCAAATCCCTAGCTAGAGTCAATCGGATTGTGATGAATCTGATAAGCGTGAGACTCAGATTAAGAGAGAATAAGTTCTCCGGGAGAATCCGATTAAAGTGAGACTCTAATAGATTTCATATGGGCCTGACAACACCATACTCGATATACGATCTCTAAGATATTAGATGAATGAGAGACTGTAGACGAGTACAAGAAATTGACAATTGCAATTCGGGCACGCAACTCTCTAATATCATTTGAAGAACTCTATGATAAGTTGACTAAGTATGAGACGTATTTGAAGCGTGAGGATAAGTTGCCCGGACCAACATCACAACTCAAGTCAGTCAAAAGTCTAAGAGGAAGAGCAACCAATATAATAAAAACGTTAACAAAGGTTTGGCCAAGATGTCTCCTGACCCTTTTGTCACGGACTTAGTTGGTTTTGCCTAAGTCGTGCGGCACCCTTGCGTGTCCGTCCGCAAAGGTCAGCCTCCCCGAAGCCTCCCATGGTCCCTTAGGACCCACAAAAGAGAGAACCGGATAGAGAAAATGCCTCACTCGGGATCCACAAGCAAACATCTCCGAAAACACTTCATAGACAATGCAAATTACAAACAGACTTTACAAGCTCTGAACAGTTGCACAACAAAAGGGTAAAATGATCCATTACAAATCGAACTAAAATGAGATTATTAAGCCTT